AAAATCAGCCGGGCGTGGTAGTGCATGCCTGTAATTCCGGCTACTTGGAAGGCTGAGGCAGAAGGATCGCTGGAGCCCAGCAGGTGGAAGCTGCGGTGGCCGGAAACGGCCACTGCACTCCAGTCTGGGTAACAGAGTGAGACTCCAACTCAAAAAAAAAAAGATAGCATCTCTTAAAATGAGCCTATACGTTTGAGAGCAGCCTAGGCAACTTGACGAGACCTCATCTCTACAATAAATCAAAAAATTAGTTGGGCATGGTAGCGCATGCCTGTAGTTCCAGCTACTTGGAAGGCTGAGGCAGAAGGATCCCCTGAGCCCAGCCGGTCGAGGCTGTGGTGGCTGGGAGCCTGAATGTCACCCAGGCTGGAGTGCAGTGGCACAATCACAGCTCATCACAGCCTCAAACACCTGGGCTCAAATCATCCTCCTGCCTTCTCTTCCTTAGCAGTTGGGACTACAGCTGCGCATAGCCACACCCAGCTAATATTTTAATTTTGTGTAGACATGGGGTCTCACTATGTCACCTAGGCTGGTCTTGAACTCCTGGCCTCAAGCGATCTTCACGCCTCGGCCTCCCAAAGTGCTGGGATTACAGACGTGGGCCACCATGTCCAGCTGGTGAGATTTTTAGAACTACTACTGAGAGAACCCCAGAGTAGGATTCATTTAACTTTTATCCTCTTCTACATAAGAATAGAAGAGATCAACCTAAATATCTAAGCTTCATGAGATAGAATGTTTTATTTAGGGATTTTTGCTTTGTAGTGGGTGAGGGTATGCTGCTTACAGGAGTGGTATTTTGCTGTGCCCACAGGGATGCCACATAAGCACACTCTGCTGGTGACCTAGTCTGTCCCCTTTAGAGGGCCATGTGTGCCTAATGGAGGAAACAGGGCGCGGCGGATTGTGAAGTTTTTTTTTTGTTTTTGTTTCTGAGTTGGAGTCTCACTCTGTCGCCCAGACTGGAGTGCAGTGGCCGCTCCCGGCCACCGCAGCCTCGCCTCGACTTGCTGGGATCCGGTGATCCTTCCGCCTCAGCCTTCCAAGCAGCCGGAACTACAGGTGCGCGCTTCCACGCTCGGCTAATTTTTTTGATTTATTGTAGAGATGAGGTCTCGCCAAGTTGCCCAGGCAGGTCTCGAACCCGCGGGCTCAGGCAATCTACTCACCTCAGCCTCCCAAGACACGGGATTATAGGCTAAACCACCGAGCCCGGCTGGATTGTGAAGTTTTAAGGGTCATTGAATCATGTAGCTGTTACCAGATACTTCTACCCATTATAACCTCAAATGTTGCATATGGCTCCACAGATTTCTGAGCTCTGCGATTAAAATAGAAACCTCTGTGAAGAAACAGCAGGTATTTAACTTCCTTTGTCCCAAGGGGTAACAAAAAAGCCAAATATTATAAGCATATGAGTCACTAGTAAAGCCAAACGTAGACCAGTAAGATTCTTTCACAGGTTTGATACACAATGACCTCACAGACATGGAGAATGCTTGTCCCTCTCTTTCTGGAAACTGACGTTTGCCATTTAGGGTGGAAGAGGTCAGCCTAAAGACAGGGTAATTCAGTGAAACGTCACTTACTTTCCTCTCAGGATTCTAAAACGCAGTGTTTCCTAAACTTGTCAGATAAGAATTATCTGAGGCAGTTCTTACAAGGCAGATTTCCAGGCAGGGCTTAGGTGGAGTCCAGGAATCTGTATTTTTAGCCAGCAACCCAGATGAATATCATCACCGTCACAAAGCTAAGGCTCAGGATGGCACCCAGTGCCATCATATTATTAGACTAAATATAGCAGCCACAGGAAAATGGACTTTAACCTGCATACAGCTAGAAAGTCCCTGGGATTTGTGACTTAGAAATTCATCTTCAAGCCAAGACGTGAAACACATCAACGAATGTGCATTCCTTAGTCTCGCCCATAAGGGTTTCCTTCTTCACATCTTAGAAGATGCCATATGCCCAGAGTTTCTGGCAGCAGAAAACCCAAATATTAACAGAAGAAATTACTTCAAATTAGATATGTCCAGCTGAACTCTGCTAAGGTATTTGGAATATTAACAAAATTTGAACCTGGTCAAAGACCACTAATAGCATTGTCTTCTGAGCAGATTCTTTGAATATAAACCTTCAGAGTTTGCTTTCAACTGCCCCAGTGTTAGCATTTTCATCATCCCACAAAGAAAGTAAGGGCTTGGTTTTGCCAGTCACCTTGGGGACAGCGCCAGCTCTGCGGCTGTCTCCCCACCCTGCCTACCCGAGTTTGCAGAGCCGGTTCCAGCATGACCCAGACAGCTGAGGAATGTGAGGAAAACCAGAAGGTCTGCGTGGGGGAAAGGAAAAACCTCACTTCCTCCTCTTCAGGGATGCCCTCCAACCAAGGAGAGATGCCAAGACCCAAGGTCAAGCCTGTCACCCATATTAATGGTGGGAAGGATCCCAGAATTATGACTGAAATATACACTTAGTGAGAAAATACATCCTTACTCTCAGGGCCTGGGCTCTATCTCATGCCAAAAATATGTCATGGTTCTATTTCCTCCACACGAGTGTAATTTTTAAAAATTTTATTATTATTTTCTTGTTTTAATTTTTTTTTTTTTTTTTTGAGTCGGATTCTCACTCTGTCACCCAGACTGGAGTGCAATGGCCGCTCCCGGCCACGGCAGCCTCGACC